ATAAATAATTGCATTATAAGCATAATTTGTTTCAATTCTGGAAAGGATGTATGCACTAAAATTTCTACACATTAATACTTATTAAAGTATTTTGTCTATACTAAATAGGTTAAAAAAAAATTTCCAGAATTACAGTTTCCTAAATGATTTGTCACATTTTTTTCATGCTTTGGAAGAACTGTTCACCATGCTGTAAGAAAGGATTTGCTCAAAACTTGATGGGAAAAAGCCACATATATGACCTGATTTTAAAAACAAAGGATGGTAAAATATTGCTAGATGTTTCCAGAACACATACTAAAGATATTAATGAACACTTCCAGAATGATTTTTAAGTATGTGAAGTTCTGAGAGTAATGAAACTCTTGCTACAAGTTATTTCTGATCAGTCAAAATATCAGATCATTCTTTTAGGTGGAGAATTGGTTGCAAATATATCAGTATCAGGTAGGTTGAACTAAAGAATGGGCAGTTCTTCATTGTTGCTCATATTTCAAAAGTTGGGGGTATTTTTTGGTGTTGTTTGTTTTATTCTAGAGACAAAGTTTTCTGATTCTCTATGTACCTGCCACCTATATTACTACCTTTTTGTGGCTACAGTTAAGGGGACTTTGGGGAATTTTGTTCTTAATTCTCTGCAGAAAAAAATGAGGTTAACAAAAAAATATCCAATATATGAAAGTAAAGCTAGTTCTTTACAACTAATACTCTGTCCTTGAAGGGATCATCAGCTCTCTCAATCTTGTATTTTGTAGAGTTTTGATTATTGACATAACTAGGATCAGAACACAGAGCTCTGGATTTCAGGTGGTCAGACATTAAATTTAATAGCACAGTTCCTCTTAGGAGAGTAACTTAAAAGTGTGCAAAAAAAAAAAAAAAAAAGATTGAAATACAGATTTTTCCTGAATGAGGAAATTTAAGAATCTGTGACCATGGCAAATCATCTATTGCTATTCCTTTATTTTTCTAGGTACAAATTGGGGATGGTTTTAATACTATTTAATATTTACGAAGCTTTTATAGAGAAAATGGTCCTGTGATTGCGAAGTGCTTATATGCTAACATACTAATATTACCAGAGGATTCTACCTGGATTTTGAGCAGTAAATGTGGAGATTTACATGAATAATACATTGTATGGGAATTGCTCTTTGCATAGCAACATTAATGAAATACCTGCCTTCATGTTTGGTAAACTTCCAGATTGAGTCATTTATAAGGAGAAAAAAATCCTTTATTTTAACAACAAGTGAGCCTGATAAATGAAGCGTCCTTTCAACAGTCCAACATCATTTTTTTTCTAAGATCATTTTAAGCCTTGAATTGAACATTAACAAATGTTTATAAATTATATACAGAAGCAAAGTGAATAGGTAATCTGAGGAGATGGGTTTATCTACACTCTTGGTAGTTGCTACCATTTATTCACAATCTCACCATAGTTACTATTGTGAGGAGAATAGTCAATCAAAGTTGAAGATGCAAAATAAACCTGAAAATTGAATTGAAAAGTAATTTTACTTTCAAATGGTTTGCAAATGTAGATGTTAAGCACGAAATGAATGCAGTTAATGACCATATCTGGGAGAGTTATGCACCTGCTGATCACAGGAGTATTATTATAAATGAGGTTGATTTTCTTGTTGACTACCTCATTTTTCTCAACATGGTCTCATTACTTTTCTGTCACATGTCTGACCCTTAGATATGAATACTGGAGAAGAGACATAATAAAAATACGTTAAGGGTTATATAGATGTTTTTAATAGATCTTTGAAAATCAAGGATGGTAGTACAGATGTTTCTTGTCTTTATAGGTCATGCTTTTTGATGGCATAAAGTTGAGTTTCACAACAAGTGCTCAGTCATTTTAGTGAAAAAGTTCTATCTCTTTGTCTCTGAGTTACTTCAGATAAAAGCTTTGTCACACCTGTGTTTGGTTTTTATTTTCCAAGCGATAGTGTAGTTGAAAAGTCTGAAAATTACATGAGCTCCTGAATATTTTTTTCTTTTCATAGCAAATAAATTATTTTACAAAACTTTAAGGGCATCGTCCTTCTCCAAATTTGCTGCTGCTTATTTGAATATTTCACCTATTTTCTGCTGTAGAATAAATACTATCTTATCTCTTGAAATGAATTTTAAACTCCTTTAGATGTGACTGTAACTATTCTTTTAAGGTTTGCTTCTTCTATATAGTATACATGCCACTATGAAAAAAAGAAAAGATTTTTTAGACTTAAATTTCAGAGTTTGGTGTACAAGTGCACCTTTTTATCTACATGGCTGTTTTCTGTTGCACTTCAGAATGTAACTGAGCTGCACATACCCTAATGGCCTTTTTATTGCCAGCAGAGAGAGAAAACTATTCAAATAAAAGCAAATTATGAGGTTTAAGCATATTTCTTGAGCTAATATTATGAAGTAAAATTAAGGTTTTAATGCTATTTGTTTGGAGGTATGCATGGCTTATGTTTAACTCCCCTCTGCTTTGTCATAGCATCATTTAAAGCAACATTCTCTACTGAGAATTACACAGTTTGTGTCTCAGCACTCAGGTTACTGTTGCTACCTGCTTCCTCAGCTCAATTTCTTAGCTATACACGGGAGCTACAGGAGGAGTTTGAAGCATCCGCTTTGAAATTCTATGTTGCCTCCAATTATCAGTGTCTCTGAATATCAACAGGCCAAGTGAGGAGGTTGTGAGGGGGAAAAAAAAAGAAACAAACTGCTTCCCTTGAAGCTCTTCCCACCTACCAGGGGACAAGAAGGCTTACCTGTGTTTTGCCTGTGGGGCTAGCTTCAGATGAAGCTTCAGAGTTAACATTTCAGGATTTTTATCAGCCAGTTTGGGCTGATGACTTTGCACTTGTTCTGTTGCTACAGGTAGTCTTTAGTAATAAGAAAGTATTTTCCTTTTAAAAAAAGTTTAGAGGACACACAATTCTAAAGCAAAAGCCGGTATTCAAATCTTATGGAGATATAAATAATTATTTTTTTTAAATAAATGTGTCAAAAAATTGTTTATAGTAATTATCTGTCATCTTCTCAGGGGGGGTTTTAATTACAGAGACAAACCCATCTGTTAGAACTAAGGTTGTTCAAAAATTATAGGTAAATTAATCATGATTTCCCCCATACAAAATGCAGTTTTAAAAATAATGTCTATTCTAGAGTAAAACAAAGTGAGACTGGTGGGAGGCCCCCAGACATGAAGGGAACAAATGTAAAAACGAGCCTCTTTATCGTTTTAAAGCAAACCTTATGTGTGTGATTGTGCTCTGAATCCTTTAGAGGCATTCAAATTCGGTGTCCTTGGTGTCCCTGAAAGATGACCTGAGTAGTCAGCAATAAACTTGCATATTATAATTCATGCTGGAAGATATGTGCTCAGGAAGTGAAACAGGCCGTGTTTTGTGTCTGTCTTCAAGGCGACAAAGAGTCTATGTAAAGTGACAGATACATTTTTAGGAAAAAAAAAAAAAAAAAGCAGATAATGTTTTTCTAGTTAGCAGGTGACAGTGTGTCCCAAGGTAATGCAAGCTTAAGGGGCAGAAACAAGAATGGTTATTAAAGGTTAGTGTGTTCTCAGTTCATACAAATTGCATTCTTTCATAGTCTGAAAGGCTATGGAAATCAAGTGAAGAGTGTAGACTGTTGAAATAAAATTAGCATGTAAAGTGATTTTATGTATCAGCAATATAGCACCAAGTTTAAATTTGAGAAAGAAATCTCATTACTCATCTCGTAAAAGGAGTAATTCGCAAATTCCATATTTGCTATCACAGCCATAAATGTTCTACATATAAATAGTATTTTTTTATGATTGCCCAAAGATACTTGGTTAGTGAATTGACAAAGATCCATTTCTTCTTTCTTGCTTTTCTTTTACAGGATAACTGATTTAGGAAATATTAAAAGAAGATTGTATTTATCAACAGTCCACAAGGAGTTGTCTGTAACGCCTCTGCATGCAAAAATTCCTCTTTTTATGATCAAACGCAAAATAGTAGGTACCTTGGGAATATTCCTTAACCTCTGATTGAGCCTTTTTTTTTATCAGAAGGATTTTATACAAATTTACAGACCTGTTCAAGTAAATGTGTTTGTTTCAAAATTCCATTCCTGTTAATTCAAGAAATATGTGCAAATCCCCTCTATCACACCCACTTAGCACTTCTGCTTTCCCACCCTTCTTCCAATATTGAGAATTCATTTCCTTTTCTTAAGATTAGCCATGAGAGAGAATATTTTATACAAACCTCTCAAGTCGTAAGTACTTATTTTAAGATAATTTAAGTGAAGGCAGTTGAGATAATTTTAGATTTCAGGAGTTTCTACTTTGAGAAGAACTTTTTTTTTTTTCTTATTAAAATGCATCAGGCCATGCCCCTGAAGTTACCATTCATTTAAAATCCACTGAAATAAAATTATTTTGTCTTCAGGATAATTTCAGTTAGCTGGTCTTGGTGTCAGGCTAGCACAAATGTTTCAGGTTTAAAGTACGTATTATTATACACTAAATTAAATTCAATCAGCGTATGAACTTCAGTTATGTATTTTAATTTAGATAATAAATCATTCATGAGAGATCTGTCTAAATGTGTTGATCTGTCCTAATGACGAAATATTTTAATAACCATAACCTCTGGCCTATTCTTTAAAGAATATGTCTGCCTTTTTTTAGCATATTGGAAGATATAGCCATCTGTTTTCTTTTAAATAGTGATCTCTCTTTTTATTGTAACTTTTACTTAGGAAATATGTTACTTTACTGATTAGAGAGCTCTTTTACAGGGCTATGATAGTTTAAATTATTTTATACATATGCTGAGCATTATTATCAGTAAGATTGGTTGTGAATAAGGAAGTAATTTACTGTGTGCTTCATCAGTGGAACAGAGTTTACATTTTCATATGCTAGCTTCCCCTGTATTATGTTTTCCAAATTACACTCTTTTTCAGCCTCAGCAGTAGACTTAGAAATATCATCAGTAATTAAAAACCGTGTTTTCCATTCCACTGCACAGTGTCTTCATAATAATTATTTCTTTCCTTCCAAAAATTGAGACTAGGAAGGTTGGAATAGTAATGAATACACAGGTCATGGTTTATGCACCTAAGTATTTTCTTAACAAATATTTACTTTTTGGCATTTAGAAAACTCTACCTTTACTTTGGCTTCATAAGAAAATAAGGCATATGTAATCATTATGTCTGACTGTTCTTCTCCCTTAAAAAAATTCCAGTCCATTGGTCAATTAGAGCTAAGTTTTGCACATGGGTAGTCATAGGAAAATGTGTTTCAGCTCTGCGGTGTTCATGGAAAGGGCTACCTTGCTTCCCACGTCAATCTCCCTTTATTTCCCTGTTCCAGAAGACGTGTTAGCATGAGCTCATTCCTTATTAGATCTAGGAATCTATGAGGAATGAAATTGTTAGGAACACCTCAACCGTGAGCATGCGTGTTTTTAAACATCAGAGAATCCATCTGCAAACATAAAGCCACAAGAAATCATGTTTTCTTAGTGCTGGTTGTGGAACTGCTTGTCTTATGTGAAACTTCCTTTTTTTCTAGGAGGATCCTGAATTGTGTTAATGGTCCACATGCAAAACACAGTTGCTCATTTATAATAAAATGGCAATATGGGAATATTGAGTGGCAAAAAAATGAAAATGAGAGAATTTAGAATTAATGGAATAGTGCAGGAAAGCATAGTACAGTGATGCTATGTCTTCCTCTTGTGTTTCCTGACACAAATAAAACAATTAATTAAAGCGAATTAAAACACATATTTAAGTAGGAATTGTAGTCAGTTTTAATGGGCTTTTGGAACGTCTCAGCAGGCATGGGTAGTTTTAAAATGTAGTTCTAAAATGTTGTGGTGTACTGCGATCTTGTCTATGCTAGAAATCGGCACTATAGTTTGGAATATGGAAGGGACATGGTCGCTGGAGGAGTCGTTTTCAGGAAACGCCAAAGCAAAAAAAGTTACCAAAAATCTCACCATTTAGTCTTTGGAGCACTTAAGCTGCAGTAACTTTTAATAATGATTGAATATCGTAATGAAATAAATATGAAATAATAATGAAGAATAAAACTTTTTTTTCTCAGAAAACTTTCAGTGGATATATTTTCTTTCAAGCTGCTTACTTAGAATTAGCTGTGGAGCTAGCAGATGTGCTGGGTAACAAAGCTCACTTGGGCTGGCAGTCCCTAGATCATCTGCATGACTATTGATTTGTTTGTATAAATAATTGTTGTAAGTGCAAATACAGCAATATTTTTTAATAGCAAAAATGTTGTGCATTATAAATCGTAGCCTGTGAGAGTCTAATGCTGCACACAAGCTTCTTTTATAGGGAGTTATGTATTAATACTCTTCTGCAATGATTAGTGGTTGGAATTATTATTTATTTATTTCTCTTTTCTAGTGGTGCAATATGTGCATTGACTTGGTAGCATTCACCAGTGAAATATTCAGAGGAGCTGTCTTCCAGTCTTTGGATGGAATTATTATTTCAGCAAACTGTAAGCTAAGAAAGATCTTCACTTTAAAAACCAAGCCTCAAGATACAGCTGAGGAAGGTGATGTGTTGTAATTACTCTGTAGCCTTAGTATGATGGTTCATATTTTAAAATCAAGAGCTTCATCACTGGTTTTGCAATTTGAAAGATTATATGATTTAATGAAAATTACGGTGACAGTATAGCATATTAAATCTGCTAGTCTTGGACTTAGGTAATCAATTAAATATATATGTCCCCTTTTTGAGCATTGACTTCATTAAAAGCTTTTTATTGAAGAAATTCTGGCAAAATTTGTCAAGAATAGAGCTTGTTTTAAAGGTTTCTTTTTTTAAATGCTGACAGAAGGCTGCTGTTGGCTGCAAAGAAAGATGATGTTTGAAAAGAAGGAATCTTTCCCTGATTTTCTCTGACTTGGAGCTTAGCAGCTAATGAAGGATTTCTTTAAATAGCCCGAGACAAAACTGAGCCCAAGACTGAGCAAGGGCTCAGACCTACAAAACTGGCATAGATACCTTTCTGTGGTCCTTGGTCCATTTCTCCTTAATATAGATTAAGGAGAATACCTTGTTCATTGGGAAAGTAATATTGGTAGTGAACTGAAAAATGAAAGATTTAAATTTGTAATAGAGCAGGGTATTGATCAAAAGATACTAATCTCCAAGCTACCATCATAGTCCTGAACCGTTATTTTCCAAAGCGGGAAACTTCATTCCTTTCTGATGTTTTGTTAACAGAGAAGGAATTGAAAAAGCACAGAACTTTTTATTTATTTATTTTATACAGAGCTTCAACTTTCATTCAGATTTTCATTTTGTGACTTTTGCAGGACACTCCAGAAAGAAGGGTTCCAGTTTTGAAGGCGAGAGTAGCATTAGCTACTCTTAACTAGCAGTAGTTTTCAATATCAGCTATGAAAATTGTGGCTTGCTTAAACAAAAACTAAAAACTATGTCATTCTGAGTATTTGTAGTTAAATACAAGATAATCAGGCAGTCAAGGATGGCTGTATTTTGTATATAGAAAGATTTTGAATGGTAATTGAATGTTTCTTCTATGTGAAAAACCTAAGCCAGTAAGGAAAATTAGGTCATCATTGTGGTTATTACCCCTTTTTTTTTTTGTTGATGAACTTACAAGAAAATATTAATTTAAAATTTTAAAGAGAGGGTCTGGTAAATCCTCAGCAGAACTGCAGTTAAAGGTCTCACTGATTTTAATTCTATCAGTGCCCTGTTTTCCCTCATTTGTTACACATAGTTTTGAAATGTACGTAAATGGTCTAATGATTTCCGAAATTCCAAGCGAAATGTGGTTAATGTAATGAGTAGAGAGTTCTAATAAATTGTGTGTATGGAAAAGCATTGTACTTTTAATTGTTGGCTTATTAGTTTTGTGATTATTACACACCTGGTGGGCATTAGGGTCTTCTGTATGAATTTCCTTCTCTAGGCAAGTCTTACAATTAGATTTCAGCTCCTGTTTTGGAGGCATTAAAACAGCCCTACAGTGCATTGCCAATTACAGATAAACAGTATTTTTTATTATTTTTATTAATTAATTTTCAGTTAGCAATCGCAGCTTGTTGAGACTCATTTTCTCACAGATGAGTGGGGACTATGGTTTCAAGGCATATCGTGGCTGTTATTCATACATAATAGCTTGTATATACCGTTTTTTTTATTCTTATAAATGATCGCAAGTGGAGAGTAGTAATCACTCTGGGAAATATTTTGTGTATGAGGTATTTGAGATGGAATAGGCAAGAAGAATTCACCTCTGCCCTGTATTATTAAGACATACAAAACTGATGTATGTAGTTTGTGTTCCATAATAATCCAGAAGTTGAGTACACCCTTGTTTTATCACTAAGCGTTGTCTCATTATGTTAAATGCTCTACAGGCATAGTGAAAATAAGAGTATTTATGTTAATAAACTAGCTAACAAAAATATATTCACTGTTCAAATATGATATGGGGCATTTCCTGTTAAGTTCTCAATGCTGCAATCATTATTCATGTTTGGTTTTAAGGTTATTTTTTCCTATTATTATTCAGAGCAGAATATGCATCCCCTTATTGTAACAGTATATAAATTGGGAAGAAGTCACCTCGGAACTTCCCGAATGGTTCTGATGCTAGAAACCTTGCTTTACGTATTGATTTTCACAGGGAAAGCAGAGATAATTGGATCACATTCTAGTGGTGCATGCTGTCTCAGGAGGAGAGAGGCTGACACCTTCTCAGTTTCCAAAAGAAGTATAATAGCATCCAAAAGTGTGGAACTAAAGCTTGGCAAATTCATTATTTGTGTCAATGGGATTTCCGTATTTGCTACTTTAGTCCCACCAATGGCAGTGTCATTTTCAGATTATGAGTGTGTTTGAAAAATCAATGTATCAGTATTGGAGCTAAAGCTGAATTTTAATAAAAATGAACAAAGTGTGTTTTATGATTTTAACTTATCTTTCTTACTCGCCAATTCATAGTTTATTTACTGTTATGGCCTTTTTTAATACGTATGTTTTGGGCCTAAAAAAAATCAACAGTGTCATTTTAAAATTAACATTGTTTTAAATGGATAATTATAGCAAACTTTTCAAATCAGTTTTTTTTATATATAATCGTATGGACTGCAGTATAGAAAAGCTAACAACAAATAATTAATTCTTGTATGTGTCAGCTTTCAGAAAAATGAAGCCCATGTGTTTGATTCTAGATGTGAGTGTTGTTCCACCTGCACCTGACAAGCCCACAGATGGTATTCCTCGAAACTGCCAGTTAAACACAGATGTGCCGCAAGTTACACAATTGCTGAACTTGACTGAAATTCAGAAGTCAGAGATAAAGTGTCGGAGCCATCCCATAACAGTGCAAGAAACAGGTATTCTGTTGCATTAAAATATTGTGAATGTGTTATGTACGTTTAACAGATACTGCAAATAACAGATTTTTATACAAAGTGTATGTTAAGGGTTCCAGAGACATAAAACAACCTTTGCACAACCCTAATATTATGCTTGCATAAACACATCTGTTCTGTAGTTTAAGGTCTGTCTGCAGCCTGAATAATTCTGACTCAAGCATGGGACTTATAATAACAGTATCTTTGAGGATTTGGCTTCTAAATGCACGTTCAAATGTCGCTGTTTAGCTCTTACATTTGTAAGAATATTTATGAATGTTTTTGGTTTTAATAACAAAATTGTTATACCAATATGACCAAGCAGAATACACAGCTTATGCTGTGAAGAGGAAAATCTTGTCTTACTGATATCACAGAATTATTTGAATGTCTCAGTAAACCAGAAGATAATAAGACATAATTTAAACTTTGACAAGGTTGTGTAGAGGTTTACTAAAGAAGTTAGGCTGTCATGTACGAAGACACAAACTATTGACTTGTATAAAAACTAAGAGACCAGAAGTAAACAGTAGGATTCAACTGTAGATTTTCATTGTAGCTGAAGGCTAAGATCAGGAGACTCTAAAGTTTTGTACTAGGTTCTGTATTCTTTAGTATAGTTAGGACTGTTCTGAAAATAAAGTGAATAATGTGAGAAGCAAAATGCTGACACAGAGATCTTAAATTTGTCAGGAGTGGGACTTCAAAAAGGTTTAAACATGCAAATAAGCCATCCCTAACTTCTTCATAGGCAACAGTACAGAACAGGTAACGTGCCAGAAATGTCATACTTGGCTTAAGATGAAGTTTCAGTTTCGTATTTTTATTTCCTTTGCCAGTGTGCTGAAAAGTTACAAGTTTGGAACTACTGTACTATGTAAACAGGTAGCATGATACCATCTAAAAGGCTTGACTTTAATATAGAACTGTATATGGGGGAAAAATGCAAACTTCGCTTAATCTTTAAAGTGCCAAATGGCTCAAAAGTAATTATCATGACTGCAGCTATAGCTCAGTGGAATTGTCAGATTAATATATATCTATAGCTTAAAATATCTAAAATACAAAGTAGTGGGAAATTCAAGCTTGTATGAAATGGAAAAGGTATCAAACATTTAACTAGGTTGTTTTCATCTGAAATAGTTTATACGTTATCAATTAACCCATCTCAAAACATTTTGCAGACTAAAAAGGGATTCAGAGAGGTGCAGCATGAAAGAAAAACTCACATGAAGATATACTGAAAAGCTTAGAAGAAATTAGCTTAGGGGAGTTTTTAAAATAATTAGTGATATGAAAAAAAAAAAAAAGGTTGAGCAATTTTTCCCCTCTCATGGCACAAGAAATAAAGACATCCTTTGATATGATGATATAGTGAATAATTAAAAACTGATAAAAAGAAAATACCTTGATACACAAATATGTTAAAATAACGAATGTACTGCCAAAATAAACTGTTGAAGAAAAGATATTAGTACAAATCCAAAATCATTTTGATATTTATAGGGGCAGCAGTAGTATCCATGGTAATTATAGATAAAGTAAGAAAAAAAAGGTAAAAAGGAATCTTGCGTTTTGAGGGTTTGCCAACATTATTTCACAAATCCCTACTGAAAAGTTCTTTTGCTATTTCTGAATGATTTGGGTTTGGTCATTATTGGCCAACAGAAGATTGACCTATTCTAGCTGATCACTTTATAGCTGTTTAGATTGATATAATATATGGGTGTATTTATGTACTCATGTTTTGGAGGCTGAGAATAAATAGAGATTGAACTGAAGAAACAGATGGATGGAAGTGCTTAAACACATTTAGACACATATTTGCCTTTGAAATAGCAGGGGAGACAGTGTAGTAGTTGTAACATCGCTGATATCAATGAAAATGAAATGTCTTCAGCTTAATGTTTAGTTTATTTTTAGTGCTTGGACCTAGCGTAAGTTCTTCTGGACATACATTTCAAGTTCAGAAGTCAGGCCTTCTTGAATATAAAACCTATGGTGTGTTTAAGTACATTTTATTTGGAAGATGTTGTTTTTATCCTCCGTTTTTTTTTTATTTGATAATCAAAACCCCAAATTATTTTTACTGTCATCTACCTTTAATTACATCTAATATTTCATTATGCCAGATTACTGGTATGTGTTGATGTAGGTAATTAATTGCAGTCAATTAATATGTTTATAAAGAGTGATTTTCATGCAAATAAGCTTTTATAATTGGAACTAACAATGTCCCAAGGTAGTCAGCAAATTAAAGAAATTGATGTTAAACCAAGATGGGTCGCCTAATCTTGTGAAATGGCAGCTGTTAGCAGCAGCCAAATGTCACAGCAGGAAGATGAGAGAAAGAAGCTTATGACAGAATAGGGCTTCTTTCTTTGAGAAAGTATTTTAAGTATTGTGATACATTTCTAAAACTATGGTCAAGCTAAAGTAATCGCATAAAACAAGTTTGTAAATATCTGTTCTTTATTTTTCTCAGGTCCTCTGATTAATAGAAAACAAGGCAATATACGGAGCAGGAAAACTCAGGATGTGTCACACATTGCGTTTGGATCAAAGATCCTTGGACCTCCCCCATCTTCAACCAGAAGAATCAGTACTAGAGTATCCGGAGAGGTAAGACTTAAACCATCACAAAATTAGTAGCCCTTGTGCGAGGGAGGAGTTGGTCTCAAAACTGATATGAAGCTTCGTGAGACCCCCAATACAAGAGAGATTGACAAAAACAGAGAAGATCTAGTTGAAGCCACCTAAAATACATGGAGGCTGGAGCACGTGGCATGTAAAGAGAAGCTGAATAAGCTGTGTTCGTTCAACCTGCAGAAGAGAAGGCTGAGGAATATGAGTCCCAGTTTTAAACACTGAAGAAGGGATGTGTCGGAAGGAACAAGTGAACAATTCTGCTCTCCTTTTACTCAGTCAAAAAAAAAAACAAAAAAAAAGTCTTTGAAATTTGGATACACAAAGCTGTCTGCCATTAAGTTTTCTGTTGGGAGACGGGTAAATTTGAGCATGTTTATTTGGAAAATAAATGCAATATTGAATTTGTATTTAGCTTTGAGTATTTTGAAAACTTAGATTTTTAACTAAGAAAATAATGTCTTTCAAGGTAACAAAGTCTATGGGCAGACAAACTAATAAATCCCGCCAACTTCGAAGTTTAGAAAAGGGAAATGAAGTTCTTCAGGACACTGAGAGGCAAGAACTATCATTCTCCCCGTGCAATGAATCTCTAGATCAAGGAGGCAAAAGAAATGCTCATCAAACTGAAGGTGTACATCAAAATGGTAAGAATCTAAAGTAAATAAGCTGCCAAAATTTTTGCATAACTTCTGACTTTAGAAAGTAAGATTCAGTTCTGTGTTTTTCTTTGTTTTACTTAACTTGATAATTGCTTAAGATATTTGTATTAATAATCGCTTATTTTTCTGAATGAATTGAACAAATGCTGGTTTTCTCTGCAGGTTTTCTGTGCTGTAAGTGTTTGAGCCAGTAGCCATAGGGTGTACACATGCTTCCCCTGCCCTCCATGATATTGCTGCGTATGCAACTATTTTAGTGTAGTGCACAAAGATCCCTAGTTGTTCTTTGTCATTTTGGAGACTTTTCACTTCAGCGTGCAGCTTCATCTGAGAATTGTGTTATTTCATTTTAATTTTGTTTTTGAATATCTTGATGTGATATTATTGTATTCCTGTTATTTTACCCTTTTTCTCCTTCCACTGTTTTTTCTCACAGAATCGTCATTGGTGATTGATTTGACCCTTGAAAATGTTATCTATTTAAACCATTTTCTTCTGTTCTTCGGTTTCTGTCTGTTCTTAAAATTTCTATAGTTTGCCCTTCCTCAATAGACAGTGTTAACCTCTGTTTTCTTGTGATTGTCATGATCCTGATGCCTGACAAAGTTTTTTTTAATCTTTGGAGTATGTTTGATACAAACACCTAGAAGATTGCTCCACACGCTGCTGTTTCATGCCTCCAGTGAGAACAGTGCATTGTATGAATGTTCACAGATTCTGGGTTATATTTCAGACCCTTCAAATCAGACCCAGAAAACCTCTGATAGTGGAGCAGCAGAGCCTCAGCTTTCTCTGCCACAAGCACCAATAGACAAGAACAGTCCTGGAAGATTATGTCTAAATAATGCTGCCAAAACCACATGGGAGATAACCAATGGTATGGTGCTAATTTTCTGTTATTTCACATTTCAGTTCTGTGTGGGGTAGGAGTCTATCTGTAATAAATTTCAAAGGCTTCTGAAGCAATTCACATAAAATATGAATGTCTGTGCTGCAGGGATTATGGAAATCAAACACCCTGCAGCAGAATTGCTTTTGAGCATTGATAAAGATTTGCAGGATTAAGCAGAGTACCAGAGCAGTGAATGAATAAAAAAGAAAAATCCCATGCTCTCATGATTAAAGGAAGAGGGAAGGAAGTAAAAATAATTTATTCTTTAAATCCCTTTTAAATTTAACACTGAAGATTCCAAACATTGGAAGTACTAGAGCTTTAACTTGTCTCAGGTAAGAGTTTAGGACTTCAATTACTGTACTCATGTAAAGTTAGTTTTTGGGGAAGCAGGGAGGACATTAAAGTTCCACAATTAATTTGCTTTGTTTTTTAATTCATAGAAAGGCAAATCAGTTTATCTTTTTTTTTCCCTTCCTTACCAAGCAAAAAGCTGTGTATATATTTTGTTATGCAGTGCCCAATCCCCTGGTTATGACTTTGTATAAAAAGTGTGACGTGGCAGAAATAGCCTTAGTCTCCGAAAATGTTGTGTTGTTTTTTACAAAAATGTATAGCTATGAAGTAGACAAATGGCTCAAATATGCTCAAGATTGTCCAAAAGAGTTTGCCTTCACATTATGAGTTATTGCCATTTGGTTTAATCTTTGGGATGTTTAGATAAAATGTTGATCTTGGTGTAGTCACTGTGAATTTTGCTACTGTCTTCAAGAAGAGAAGCTGAAATTGTACCTCAGAAATGAAAAGGCAACCTGAAGAAAATCAATCCATACTTTTTCTGATATGCAAAGCAGAGAATGCAGTTTGACAGAATAAATACTACTTTAAATTTCTTTGGGTGAAGAGTTCATAGGTGATTTTCCTTGTTACCTTAAAGGAGGGTTGCTGCTATTCATAATAATAGTCTTTAGTTACAGAACGCTCATCGTCTCTTCTGTAACAGGTGTGCAGTACCTTAGCGCACAGGTAAATTGTTTTTAGGAAGGGAAGAAATAAAATGAGTGAGCATTGTTTATCGTATGCCAATCTTAATTATGATATGTTGAAGCCTTCATTAAAATGTTAGGTGCAATTAGAAGCTCTAGCATAAATTTGTCTAGAAGAACTAATTAGATGTTTAGGGGATCATTCTTGCATTTATCTTGTTTGCTGCAATGTTGTGATTACACAGTAATTTCCATATTTTGCTAAGAAGATACTCCAAATTGCTCATTATAATCGACATGGAAATGCTGAGGTAAAAGAAAAATTCCGGTGTAGTTTGTGGCTGAGAGATAATAGGATTTGGTTTGGTCCAAAACATCCCATCTCTTTCACTTGTAGCTTATTAACAAAGTGCTACCCTGACTACAGGTTACAGAAGTTGCTGAACTCTGTAGCCAGTGTAAAATGTCTTACAGACTTTTCTATCTTCCCCTGCAATATTACCTTAGGAATAAGTGCTGTAATACACAAGCTAATTATGTTTGCCTTTAACTTACTGCTATATCAAGTATCTTTCTTCAGCATCTCTGGAAACTAATCTTGTTCTTTACAGAGAAGATTAGACTAAAAAAGCAAAAAATTAAGGTTAAGTACTGTACAGACAGTAAATCTTTTGAAGTACTTCTTTGTGCTTCTAAAGTGCTTTTGGTTTGGTTAAAGGTGCTATTATTTCCCTTACCCTGGTGCTGCAGGTGAAGATAGAAGTTTTAGATGCCTGTGGCAGAACCAGGAGTTGGAGTCAGGAGTGTTTAGACTTCTAATCATCTCTTTTTCTCTTACCACTTGAAAAAAAAAAAACAGCTGTTATTTAAGACACCATTGTATTATATTTTGATGCTTCATTCAGAATTGACTTAAGATCAAAAAAGCTGCATGGTTGAACACAGTTTTGCTTCAGGATTCATTACAAAATGTTATTTGTAACAACCTCTGCAAATAGCAACAAGGGAATTAGAAGCCATTCTAGAATGGGAAAAAGAGGAGGTGACATTGTGGTTAGATGAATTGACTTTAGATTTTTTTTTTTCCAACTACAGCCACTGAATCCACCTGAAGTGATAATTGTTTCTATACATAAAACTGAGAAGAAAGATTTGAATGCCATTGTAAACTTATTGTCTTCTGTGGCATTTAATTATTGCATTGCTACTTCATTATTACATTTTTGCAGTTCTATATTGAAGGATTTTTTTAATACAGTTGATCATTACTTTGTTTTATGGAGACAGAATTTTCAAAGTCTAGTGAATAATCCACAGCACAGTAGCTTTAATGAAGATAAGGGAGTATTGCATACTTGAGCAATTCTCCTTTTCTCAGATGCTATTTGGGATTTGCTTTGATCCATCAAACTGTCATTTTTTCCTATACCATCATTCCAACTAGTAAAATATAACTTAACAGTGAGAGTATGAAAATGGTCTTTCCATGTTTATGTAGTGCACTCAATCTTTAAATCCATTTCTCTAGTTTATTGTTTGTTTTAAAATTGGCAGATTAGTACAGCTTGTATGCAGGGAAACCTGGTGAAACAGATATCTTCATGCATTTTTCAGCAGACCTGTGGCTTGAAATTGCAATTTAAACCATAGATTCTGGATGTATAAGAAAGTACAGAATTTCAGCAATAAAAATGAATTTTAAAAGTACATAGCAATATTATGAAATTTCTATTTACTTGCCATGATTTATATTTTTTAATAGAAATACCAGACCAAAAAAAAAAAAGAGAGACTGCATAAAAGTCAGTAGCCCCATAGAATGAAATTATGTTTTTCTAGATATATAAACATTTTATTGCATAGCAATAATTTTATTACTTTCTGCTAATTTCAGATGAATGGGTGTTTCCTGAAATGGTCAGTGAGACTTTTCATTCGGGTAAGAGTGGGCAGTTTGTATCTACTCAAGATTCAGCCTGCCACAGTTTAACTTCACTGCAAAATGCCACTACTGAACCTCAAAGCAATGAAACAGGTGATGACCAAGTGGCTCACAAAGAGATTTTCATATTTTCATCAAGACCTCGGTCAGCTCGTCATGGAAGGTCTCCCAATATGTCACCAGAAGGTTGTGTTTTCCCTTCAGATTTGAAGCAAGACAGTAACCAGGCACAAAGTGAACCCAAATTGAAGATAGCTTTCAAGGAACTGACAGCAGTGAGGAGGTAGGCCGTTTGTACATGTAATTCTTGATAAAGTATCTTCATCCTAAAACTCCAAGGAGGAGGTTCTGTCTTCAAGACAGACAGAGAGAATAAATCATCTTTTCCCCATATACCTGCGGGCAGATTTGTCTTTGTCAAGTTGCTGTGTCTAACTGGATAGAGGGGTGAGAAAGCAGATATTCTCTCTAACAAGTGGGCAAAAGAAACCTACTACTCTATCAGCCCCTGTGCCACAAGGGTGAGTGATTATAATGCACCTTTGCAACAGAAAAGATTTTAGAGGAGCCTGCATCCTAGACTGGAGAGAGCGAGGAGTATGACCGATATATGAACAGTCAAGCAAGATGACAGTAAATAAAGGCTTTAGTTTGCCTTTTAAAACTGTAAGCAGGGACTGTGTTGCCCACTAGCATTGTCAAAAGTGAATTAAGAAAGTTCAACTGTTTAATATTATTTGATGGTCAATATTTCTGCTTCACATCTCGTCTGAGCTGCGTATCATCACAGAATTTTTCTTTTGCAATGTGGAAATCTTTCAACAATGAAATTAAGAAAGGGTTTTTTATAAACAAAAAATATCTGCTGATGTAAAAATATAGTAAATTATCAAATCAATGAATTCATTGCATGGAGTCATTAAAGTAACTGTCAAGAATTTCAAACTGTATTAACATTCTGGTGCTTCTCATATTTGATTTTAAAAATGCTCCTTATTCTAATCTGTTTCTCAGAGCTGAGGAATGAAGTACAACTGAATTATGTGATAACAAGACAGATTAAATTTAACAGGAATACTGCTCTGTTCTGAGAAACCATAGTACTGATGCTAACAATATCAAATAGAAAGTCCCTTTTCTTCTGGGTGTGTTTTCTTTTTTCCTTATTTGCAGGGAAAGGAGGGAAGTGCTTAAATCTCTAGGGCTTCATCATTTCAAACATGGTTTCAGAATTTCTGTGTTAACTTAGTTGTAGTCAGGCTAATAAATCATGAGCAGTGCTGTGTGTGATGTGGTTCTGAAGATTTAGAACTCTTCAGATTTCAAGTGATTTTTGTCAGCTCTGCTCATGAAAAGTCAGGGAGGTTATTCTTAATGCCAGGGTAAGGAAAAAATTTCTTTAATATAAGAACTAGGAAAGCTTTCCAGCACTGTCCTTTTCTCAGTTAGAATATGCTTGTGGTTTTGGTTTTTTTTTTTTTTTTTTTGGTTTGTTTGTTTCTTTTCTTGAATTAATGTCCATTGTAAAGATAGGTCTCCAAAATATTCTAAACAGTGGCAAACGAAAAATTCAGAAAAGGCTCAATTGTTAACCTGGGCTTTTTTGTTTTGTTTTGGGTTTTTTTTATTGTGTTGTTTGTTTTTGTGCATTTCATTTTCAATAGTCTAGTGGCTTCACTGAAGCCAATGATAAACAACAAACTTGCTGCATTTTCATTTGCAGTAGGATTGTACTTTGCCTATGAGAGGCGTGTTGATATTTCCATGTCTTTGTGAAGCCTTCAATATATCGTGTCTGGTTTGGTACCACACAACAGAGGAGCAATTACGAGTAGACGAGGATGAGGCTTCTCATCCTTCCTTTCATGTGAATAGTGACACAGAGGTAAACAGCAGCTTTGCTTCCCTTTTATTTTTCTCCCCATGTGTTCAGGCTTGCTGTTCAGTGTTGAGATGAAGCATAAGTCAGCATAAGAAAATTGATTCATGGAATGTTTTGCAGAGACATTGTTAGCAGCATAACAAAAATATGAAAGTAATAAAATAACTCCCCAAATATTGAAATGCTGTTCCATAACATCCAGAAGTGTGTAAAATTATCTCAACAGAAGTTTTCTTTGTGTTTGAGGCAAAGATGCTATGGGAATGTATGGAGTAGTAGTATTTTAATAGAAAGATATCAGTGTCATGGGGTTTTTCTTTACTTTTGTTGTGCAGTTGTTACAAATCTTATCTAAATGATGATTCTCATGTAACCCCAGATTAGAGAGTTTTCCAGCGTTCTGAGCTGGGACAAGAATCTGGACCTGTGCTTTGAAATGTGCAATTTCTTCTTCTGTCCCTCACTTGTCTTCCCTACTTAGTTTGCAGAAATATGTTTATGGATTTGTTGCCAAGAAGAGCAGATGATTCTCAAAATCTTTGCACATTTAGAAAAAAATGCTGTATAAATTAGAGAGCCATTTTGAAACACTGAAGGTCAAGTCCTTTAAATAAAAACAATATTGTGTGGTGATGAGAGGAAATCACTGTTGCCTTGTTTCTTAAATTTAGGGTGACAACAGTGAATTAATCCAGGGGACTGAACACCTTGAGAGCAGCCACAGCAGGCAAGGAACATGTGATCCTGGAGTTTTTGAAGAGAACCCATTAAAGAGAATATCCTGGAGAAATGAATATGGGAAGAAAATGCAACACAGGAAACACAACCTCAAGGAAACCATATTGTCAAAATCACAGTGTTCTGCTATGAGAAAAACAGATTCTGCTGCCTCTGAAAGAAGCTTAATGCCTACCCCTTGCCTTTCTCCAACTGGAAGTAAAACAGAATTCTTTAGAGTAATTCCAAGTGCATTTGAAAAACCTGAAATATCTGAAGGAGTGGATGGTCATTTAAAATCATCAGTGAATAAAAAGTCCATGAAGATCTCAAAAGAAAATTCATGTGTGACAACAGAGGCTTGTGTAAGTGATTTTGCTTTGAAATTGAACGATCAGGTTGTATAAATAGGGGAGCTGTATTAACCCATTTACAAGAGGTGAGCAATAATACATTCTTCTTCCAGATACGTTGCAGGTTTATATAACAGTATTTACCACACTGCACATCAAGTAGTACTTTAGATAGAACAGAAATCAGAAATTCATAGATAAAAATAGGTGTTATTGAGCAACTCACATTTTAGAAATGCATAAGTTATGCATAAATAGTTTTGGGCTGAAAGGCTACAGAGGAAAATTGACAGTTTTTCGGTAGCGGTATTAAAAAGGGACCATGGAAAAATCATTGATCTGTGTACTCCATAGTCTGTCTGATGCAGTCCTGAAAAATAGTAAATTATGTGATTGAAGGTTAGCAGTTTAGGCTCTAACATTGCCTGAATTGCCAGGCTACTCTAGGAGCTGTTACATTCACGAGTTAGTTTATTCCCCCCCTTTTTTTTTTCCTGTGCTTTCTTTATACAGTAATTTTAAGAACAATTAGTCTGATACTAATTATCTTCTTAGAGATTTCTTAATAGCTAATTTCGTTTCTTTGCTTATGTTAAATGTTGTGCTTAGAATCGGAAATTAGATCGTAATTATCAAGTGTAGTGTGTAAATAGCAACTAAGTGTGGCTATGTCCCGTGTTTCAGCTAAGGAATCCTTTTATACTTGGAATTGCTGCATATCTGTATCTTTAACATCTGACCTCTCTACTAACTGTGTAAATGAGTGGATTAGATTTCATCACAGCTGAGAGGAACAAGCCAAATTTGTTCCTGAAACTTCACAGAATGTTCTTCAGACTTCAACTAATGCTGTTTAAGAGCCAGCATCTGTCAAGCAGTGGTTGGTCGTAGTGAGATAGAGGAAAGTGCAAGGACAGAGCAGGCATCCAGTGCCACCCGCCAGCCAGCTCTGCCAGCCTCCTACCAGCAGGACAGCTTGGCAACTTCTCGAGCAAAAGGTGTTGCTTCTGTGTTAAATACATCACTAGAAAGCATGCCTGACTAGCTCTTACCCAATAAAATTGGATACATACTTCATATTTAAAAAGTATTTCCAATCATTTTAAAGTGAATGTGATCACCTTTGAATATGGCTCTTTTTGTGACCGCATTCATATCTAAAACAAGGAATATTTGCTTTTTATTTGTATTTGTTGAATACAGTAGATATATGTGCACAGTTTTGCAAGAAGTCAATATTCTAGGTTGCCATAAGTTTTAAGAAAAAAGTTCTGCCATACAATATTGTTAACTACAGTGAGACAACACTTGGAGTCATTTTGCTTCCTGTTAAGCATGTAATTATTTTATTTCCATTTTGAAACACTCTTCATGGTTTTGAGAATTATGTATGAGAGGATAGTTTTGAATGAAAGGATATTTGAGTGAGCATTTACAGAGAAGTAATGTCTTCTAATCTGCTCATACAAAGGACTGGTTGAAAAAAAAAAAAAAAAAGCTTAACCAGCTCTTACTGCAATCGATTTCCTAACTGCTTAATACACTTTAAGGACCCTGGTTGCTTGCAATGTTTTATTCATGTTTTAATAGAGTTCCCTATTATTAAGTTCAAATATTTTTAATTAAGAAAGAAGTACAACCCTCTGGGTAATACTGCAACCACGTAGATAGCTGGTAATTAAACTTTTCTGCATGCATAACTACATTCAAACAATTCTGAATGAATCATTTGAACCTCGAAGAATGCAAATGTCATTATGTGTGAAAAAATTCTTTAAACAACAGGTTTTGTCAATCTACCAAAAGTCTTAAGGCTTTAATAGAAAAACTCTTTTTATCATAAGGCGAGGATGTGCTGAAAGACAAGATAAACTTTTAATTACTAAAGGAAATATTCATTTTAGACAAATTTACATATTTTGGAGAATTGCTTTTTATTTCAAATGTTTCTTCTAAATTACAGAGTGAACTTAATCTCAAATTCAATTATCAAATTCTGTCTTTGAAAATCAATAAAACAATATAAAAATTTTTTTTGGTAGTCATCTGAAGCTACAGAATATTTAATCCTATTTCTCCTTTATTACAAAACTTTATTGCAGAGACCGTTAAGGACAGCAACTGTCGTGACTCCTTTTCTCCTTTCTGAACATGGTTATTTCTGTTGAAGAATGGGAGGGTTGTGAGAGAGGAAAACAGAATGACAGTTTGAAATAAGCTAAGGAAAGAAACAAAAGAATGTTCTGAGTTGTTTTGTAAAAATTCCAACATCTATGCATCTTTCTTCATAGAGCTAAAAAAATACAAGCAGGACTAGGAAATGTTTTGCCTCAAGATAATGAGAAAAATATTCTTTCAATTCTTAATGCTTTTATTCTGCATGGCAATAGTTCATGCTGTCCTTTGAATTTCTTCATGCCAATCAGGTTGTATATGAATAAGAAAGAAGCTTCTCTTTTACTGATCAAACAAATAAAATGCAGAGGGATCCGATATAGGAAAATCCAAAGGAAAGCAACAGCTCCAGTAAGATCAATAAAGGTTAAAACAGTAATAGATCCGATGGAACACGGATGCAAAGAAACAGCCAACTTTCCAGATGTAACACAGCAGGCTTGATAAAAAGTGAACTAATAATGATTGAACAAACAAGCTCAGTACAAGTTTAGAGAAAATGTGTGCTATTTTAGGAATAAAAGATGTTAGTAACCATCACAGCATTCAGGAGTAAAGCTTGGACCTCAAAAGTTAGAAGTAAAAAAGGGTGGCACCTCTGCTAATAATATTAGCAGATGGTGAAAAATGGACTAGGATTAATGTTTTGTGTAAAAATGATTGTATCATGTTTTATATGATGATGCTTTTCTTTGCTAGTACAATTTATTTTTTTTACTGAAATATAGCAGAAATTTATTTTAAATTCTTTGCAGAACTATGAAACCAAGGTAGTCACCCTTCATGAAAGTAGCTATATCTAGTTTTACATAGATTTCAGAGATACCACCTCCTGACTGTAGTATTTCAAAACCTTTCAGTACTCTGAAAACGGGAATGGAATTCAAATTCACCATAAATTTCCGTGCTGGGCTCCAGAAAGCAGTTCCAGGCGTGCAGAGGAGCCAGGCACGTAGCGAGAGAGCCGGAGCCGTGTGTGTGTGTGTGTGTGTGTGTGTGTGTGCTCACACCTCGCACTGACCTGCATGCTCTGATGCCAGTGCAAAGGGCACACTACATTCATTAGTGCTTAAAAAGAAATCATTCGCCCGTGCTCGAGGTGAACCTGTAGGAAAATCTGTAAACTGCTTTTGAAAAGATATTTGACTAAAAGTTTGAGATACATAGTAAAACTTTGAAAATGTTTGCAGTGGGCTTTAGAATTGTCATTTTCACAAACATTTGCCTATTTGCACATAGAGGTGTACTGATAGGAGAGCCCTTCAGTCATAAATCTCATTTTACAAGAACCGTTTACCTGCTGATTGTCAATTTGCAGGCACGCTTCCCATCAAAGATGGTTTACTTTGTTATTTCAATACTAATTTTCTTTTTGATTGGTTATTTTCTGTAGCTGATTTTTGATGAAATATCTATTACCATAAGAGTTACAATGAGATGCATAACATGTCAAAAATAAATGATATATTGGTCACTCACCAAAATTTAGTTTTTGTCAGCAATCTTTATTGACTGGTATTTATTTTTTTTACCTAGGTTTAAAATAGCAAGTACTGTCTTACATACTATACAGATAATAAATGTTGGTTTCTTTTATGGCAACTGGGAAGAAACAAAAATATACTTTTTTATATATGTTTTCATTCTAAAAATATTTTTGTAAATAGTTAACTATTCTAGAGCTTGAGTTGTAGGCAAGATCCTGTTTGCTGCATGGTGCTGTTGCTTGTATTGCTAAACAGCATTTCTCCATCTGTTCTGAATGTAAAATTCTCTTCCATTCTGCAATGTATTGCATATCCTATATTTGCAATACAGTACTGTGAATGAATGCATGGCATATCTCCAGTTTCTCTTCTGGAGGGGAAATAAGTAATGTACTACCCTTGTAATCATTCGTTACCTGGCTTTGCTGTGATCTGAAGAACAGAGAAAGCTAGGAAGGAAGGGGAGCGGAGGGAAAATAATGCATTTCCCATTCCCAGAAAATACAATTTCATTAAGATATATGGAACTGCCTAAAACAGAAAAATGCCCTATTTATACCTGCAAAGTAAGTTGTTGGTTGAGCACTGATGTTGTGTAACCCTTCTAGTGAAAGCGAGTACTTTGTATGTGAAATTCTAAATGCTCTAGATGCAAATTGAAATGTAATTTCTGAAATATCTTTTAAAATTTCAGGCTGCCATATGTAGCTTTCCAGAGAAGTCTTGTGATGTGTTTGACAAATCAGTGAATTTTATGTTGCTGGTGTTTATGAAACTGTGGTAATTTTGTGTTTATTTCAAGGTTTGCATTTGATATTTAAGCCATTTTAGCTGGTAGAGTTTCATACCCTTGGAGGCTTGTTTTCTTCTCTTTTTATTTTCAATAGAATGGCAAATTCACTGAACACCCAGGATGCAAACGGCTCTGCAGTCCATGACAGTTTGTGTTTTGCTGCCTTCCTGTGAAATTATATATATGTATATATGTCCTTGATCTTCTTGCTAAACAGAAGTCTGTTAACTAATCTTTTCTAGTAGATATTTTGTTTCTCTTTTAGTAACAAAGCTTCTTGAAGATTCCCCAGAGGATTCCCCAAGGGATCTTTATTCATATATTCTGCTTTATTCATATATTCTATTCCATGATCCTGTCTGCATTGTTAACTTCTCCATCCTTTTTCATAGGAGTATGATTGGAAAAACTACCAGTCGAGTAGACTAAGTACATCTGAACTGCAGATGTTGGCTAGCATGACAAGACAACACCATGAAGAATTTGGGGATACTGAGATCTCGCACGGCTTAAGCGCGTCCCAGATAGATGACTGCAACATTAGCATAAGCACAAGCAGCGATGATACAGCAACCTGGCATTCTTCTTTCCCTCCAGTAAGTCTAAACCTACAGTATTTTTTTTCCAAAATGCTTTGAATGATCACGTAGTTGCTACCAACTCTTGGTAGGGTAAAGTAGTCTTGGGTAAAATTTCTGAGAATAGCTTTGAAATTTAAGGCAACCCTCACATGTTTAGAACTCACAATAAAATGCACAACCAAACTCACTACCAGCAGCTTCCACATTGCCCCCATGGAAAACAAGAAAACCTATTTTATATATTCTAGTGTAGAACCCCAAGTAGTCATATCAGTTGCAAAACCTATATGTTTGGATTGCAGTACTTAAAAATAGCTTCAAAATGAATGAAAGCCAGATACACCGGTCAGGAGCTGCCTTACAGTACGAGTAATGGAAAATAATTGCTTGCTGCATTGATACGGTTCCATTTCTGTGCAGCTAATGGCTCCCAGGACTGAACGGGGAGCACAGCAGAGTGACACTGCGGTGGATCTGAGCACTTAGTGTGTGACCTTCTATGTCCTGCTCCTTGTATCAATATTTGTCCTGGTATGAGGTGTAGCACAGCCGCACACAGCTCTCCTGTGTGACAGAGTGCTGTTATTAGAAGCAGAGGCGTATTTGTTAGCACTCCACTGAAGAGTATTGAATGTATGAAATCACAGAATAACATTTTGGCAACTATATAAAGGTAGTGCAAGCATTGCTGTAAAACTCAATAACCTCATAGTCCATTTCTCTAAGCTCCATAGTTCTTATTTTATTACAGCTCAAACAATAATAAACAATGAATGTGGCCTAAGCAGAGAACACCACACAACTGTCAAGAGGCAGGTCCGGCCTTAGAAGAGTAACGCACTGCTGTGTTGCCCCAATATAAATTACTGTAGGTTCAACGCTCCAAAATGTTGGCTGCAGAATTTTTTCCGGGAATTTATAGAGCTCAAAATAGAGGCCTGTGGTAGCAATCTTCTGTAATCAATGATCAGTGCAAAATTAGAGCTTTGTGATATACTAATAAATGGAAGTTTGGAGTTAGCAGAGATTTATTGATAGATGAGTAATTATTCTAATAAGAACTTGGTTTACAGAGTAATAGTTTGAGGAATATAAGAGAAATACTAGTTTATTTTAGCTACCTAAGATATGTTAGTGTTGTTCATTTAATTGATTTCATCATATTGCCAAAGAATTTTCTTAGCACTCACTTGATAGACTTGCATATGGAGTAAATCTCTAAGACTGGACAAATTAGACTGAATTAAATAAGGATAATAGCAGTTTCATTAGCTTTTGAGCACCTTAATTATCAGGAAATTGATAAGAGTATTTAGACATGTCAGATTGGGTTAGTACAAATTATGTGACTAAAACAAAATGAACTTTTAAAATAAAATACATTGTACTAATTGCACTGACTGCAAAATTTAGTGAAGCACAATGTGATTGCAAAGACAGTTCTTTGATCCCACTGCTTTGATCAGCTTCTTTACATATCAGGCTAAAATTTCCAGTTTAAAGTGTTTAGATATAATAAGTTACTTAAAATGAATTTAATACAGGTATACTTATTCATAATACTCTTTGGGGGCAATAATTCCCTACATAAAACAATTTTTATGTAAGAGCCATGTTTGACTTGGAGAGAGACAAGTTTTTCAAATTGCTCTGGACTGAAATGTTGGTATGTTTTATCTGTACAGCCCTGTGCGAGTTTCTGCTGTGCATTTTGCAAGGTGGACATTGTGGTTTTAGTGGCAAGAGCCTTGGTTTGGGAAGGTTGGAAGGAGTAGTTTAAAAAGCAAATGCAATCTTTCTCAGATAAGGAGTAACTATTTAGGCCCTCTCTACAGCACAGAGTGCTGCAGTTGAGCTTCCAATTCCTCTGCCTGAACTCAAAGAGATTTTCTGTACCAATACAGTATCTATTTTTCACATGTGTTTTCCACAGCACCAGCTCTTGCTAATGCAGACAGTAGATTTTGAAGTCCGGGGCTGAGTTTACCACTGTTTCTTGTAATTCTGCTCAAATATTTGGGGAAAAACAGAATAATCCCTGGAGAGTGATGATTCATTTCCAGGTCCTTTAGTCTCTAAGCAGGTTATCAACAGATTTATCAGGAACGGTGATTATTTAATTAAGTCTTCACTTATGTGACCCAGAAGAGTCTCCAAGAGTAGGTAGAGGACATTTCTGATGTCCTGTTATTAAATGCTTGCATTTTTGGATATGCTTACAACATTTCAGAAATATCTAAGAGATACTGTGCCAGTATTCAAACACAAGTTGAAAGGACAGAGTCAGTGTAGGCCGGTTAGCCTGACATAATTTTTAAAACAGTGGTAAAACTGATGGGATTCAGTTAACAGAGATTCAGAGGATGGTAACATTTAATAATAGCCAAAGTCATTTTATATAAAATATGTCTTGTTTAACAGATTCTATTTCATTGATAAAATTGCAACTTTGATAAAGGTAACTGCTTAGATGTAATACGCAGAGATCGTTGTAAGTATTTATTTACCCTTTGACTTTCTGTTTGAAAAATGTGCAGCGTACAATATCAATAAAGTGCACTTTAAATGAATTTAGAACTGGCTAACTGACAAATACCAGAAGCAGTCTGCAGGGAATTATCCGTGAGTGGAGTATACCCAGCAGGGCTCCATCATTCTATCACTTCTAGACCTGAAGTTCGATGTTTTTATCGGTGATCTAAATTTTAATGGCCTGTCATATACATACGGTCATTCTAGTTGATCTAATTTTCCCTCTGGCTTTCAAATCTGTAAATCTTTCAAATTATTCCATATAGCTATTCTGTCTGAATTCCCACATTTAGTAGTTGCCATTCTCAGCATTTAGTAGTCTCACCTGTGCAATAAAGGTGTTGCTTTACACATTGCTAATCTACAAACTTTAAAGCTCAGAATTCAACATACATGGAGTGGCCAAAGCATTTTCAGAAGTTGCTCTTCCTGAATTTCAGTCTTCTGCCATGCACATCCAGTCATGCTCTAAGATCTAACACGAGTAAAGCTGTAATATCTTCAATTTACAGTTTTTATTCAGAATTATTCCTTATGTATACGTATTCCTTATATAAATGATATCTAGATATTTATATGCATAATAAAAGGAACTTTATGTCCACTGATACTCAGTAGTGACAATCACTACCATTCCAGCTCAGTTCAGCAAATTTGCAAATGATGAATCCCTACTGCAGTCCCTCTTGCAAACCACGGAAATGTTTTTATGCATCTGTACCATCTTTCAGTTGTATTTAGCAAAGGATTTTAGCTGTACAGTGCATGAAAAGAAATAATCCTCACATTGTAGTTTAAAAAATTAAGGACAACTTGAAATTCCTGGCATGATTAACTTTTCATGTTTATTTGTAATTCCAGGTAATAACTTCTTGATTATTTAAATCAATAATATCTATTCCTTTCTATTATGTCCTTCAAAGATAAGTAAGAAATATATTTATTCTAAACATTTGTTCATTTTATATAACCTTTCTATCCCTCGGTGGAATCTGTGGCAACAGCACCACCAGAAGGCAGATTTTTTAGTGTCTTTCCTGTTTAGGATATGTATGATATTTTGTAAGTCAGTGCAGGATATAGTTGTATTAAATAACAAACTTACTTATCAAAGTAATATTTTATATAAAAAACACTTTTTTAGTGAGTTTAAATTTTCCATCACTTGTCACAGTTAGTCTGATTTGTAGATTCCTTGAAGATTCTTGCCTATTCCTGACTCTAATGAAGTTCAGAAATCCTTCTGAATGAAAGGCATGGGGATCTTGTTGCTAAGTTGCCTTTTAAACAGATGAACAGATGTCCTTAAGCAACTATAAAAGTGATACACTAAAAACTATTTTATAGCCAATGATAGTTTACCAGGAACTAATACATAACTCTGAGGATAAATTATTGAAATGTAAGTTGCTTAGCAGCTGCGGTAAATGATGAAAGCCAAAAATGAATAAAATAGCTTTCAGTACTATTCATTACCCAGCATAACTGAGGCTGAGGGAGCTGGGCCTGTTCAGCCTGGAGAAGAGAAGGCTGAGAGGGGATCTAATCAGTGTATATAAATACCTCAAGGGAGGGAGTGCAGAGGATGGTCATGGTCTCTTTTCAGTGGTGGCCACTGATAGGACTAGAGGAAATGGCCGGAAACTGAAACATCAAAAATTCCATAGGAACTTAAGGAAAAATTTCTTAACAGTGAGGGTGACAGAGCACTGGAACAGGCTGCCCAGAGAGGTTGTGGAGTCTCCTTCTCTGGAGATCTTCAAAACCCGCTTGGATGCAGTCCTGTGCCACGTGCTTTAGGTGTCCCTGCGTATGCAGGGGGGTTGGACTAGATGATCTCTAGAGGTCCCTTCCAATCCTAAGCATTCTATGATTCTATGATTCTATGATAACTATTAACTATAAAAATATTTTTTGAAGAAGATTATTTAAGTATTTTACTTTGAAGGTGAATTGTGGAGCTTTATAAAATTTGTGTGCAAGACAGGGCAAGGTTCCTATTCACTAATATGCACATATAGAACTACATATTTAAAAAGAAAGTATTTGTCTGTGTCTTACCTGAACGATTTTTTAGATGCTAAGATCTACATGATGTCCCACATTCGCTTTTCAACAGCTAGTGGTAGTATGAAAGACACAATTTTATGTACTGTGGAGGATCTCGTGAATTTGAACACCCCACACGTTACCCAAGGGATGTTGTGCAGCTTACAAAATATTTCTGCTCTCGTCCCTGTCCTAGAGAGCCACTTCCTGCCCTGGTTGGAGATTGGGCCCATTGAGTTTCTTGATGAGCTAGTTCCAGACAACTTCAGTGATGTATTTTGTTTTAGTTTGTGTTATATGACATGCATATAATACAAACATTATGAAGTAAGGTCATATATAAGAGTAATTCAGGACATTTTCTTCCATATACTCCCTGATTCTGAGAGGGGAGAATGAAGACTCCTGGATTGTTCATTGAGGAATCCTGGAAGCTCACAGTGGTGTAATGCACCATCATCAGGCTCAAAAATTGTCTCATTGGTCGTTCAAGTAAGAAGCACTTACAGAGAAGTGAGATTACTTGTTCCCAAGCATCTTCTTCCTAAATATAAATTCAATCAAATGGGCCTTTGATCTGAGAAGTACTTGAAAGGGTGCTTCCAGGTTCATACTAATTTGTGGAAGGTCTTTTGGCCTCCGTTGTGATGATTCACAAAAAAGAGCCACATGACACAAAAGTGGTCTGGCAGATTTGAAGTCTGACAGACAGGAAGAGTGATATTTAAACCCAGAATTATTCCAACTCAGAGCTCAATTTGACAACCCCTGGAGGGATCTATTCACATCAAGTCAAATTGCAAAACTGAGGCAGACTACTCTTTGCTATGAAATGAGACTAAAAATTATTGAGACAGATATTCTGGTTCATAGACTGACTAACTCGCTTCCTCTCTTGTCCGCTGTCTTCGACCAGCCATCACTTGGGAATTGCACCATCCACTACCTAGGCAGTGACTCATGTCTGCCAGTAATTAGGATGTCATTCATCCTAGCAGACATTTTGCCACATCCATCCCCACTTCCTGAAAGCATGTGAATATACTCATATTTTATATTGATTTCTGTATAAGTCCTAATCCCTTTCATGATTCTTAATATTTATTTTTAGCATTTCATGTACTAAATTATGCACATATAATGTTTTGGATGTGCTTCTATGTTCATTTGTTCCTCTGTTTGCTTGAGTGATATGTTTAGAACTGGTTTTGATGTTTGTGATAATGTGTAGGAGTTATTCTCTGAAAGCTTTGAATATATACTGAGACTACATATATTTCTGAATTTTAGAATTTTTGAATATTTATAGTAGCATGTAAGTATCAGTTTCTTGCAAATAACTGTTTTTAGTAAGTCAAATAATGTAATTTAAAACCATTGGGGCATAATCTTATATGGGTAGGCAGGATTTGAAGAATCTTAATGAAAAATATATTTTGTATGAATATTCATATAGTACACTCTCAGTTATCCATTAACAGCTTAATCCAAATTTCAAGTTAGCAGGGTCATAGAGAAGCATCCGTATTTTGGCTGGCTTTATTTGGGGTAACGGTGCTTGTGCAAAAGGGAACCTGGCAGCTCTATCAGCTCCAGGTCAGGGCTGGCAAGCCATAAGTGAGGTGATTCTGTACCCGTCCTACAAAGTCTCCCTGCACCTTGTGTGCTCTATCCATATCCTCCGGGATTCCTGTTACCAGACAGGACTTTGCCGCACTTCCTTTTCCCCGACTCTATCCCCACACTTCTATACCAGACATGTGCTGTGTACTTCTGCCTAGAGGAAAATCTTCCGTTGGATGATATTGGGATCTGAATATCCCTTTTAAATTTCACAGGAAGACAGACCATAAAATTCTAGTATCAGGAGCTGCAAATGTGTATGCTGAAAAGGATCTATTACATACTTTTAAATGTTCTGAAAGCATGTTTGCAGAGTTATTTTCTCACTATTATTTTTTGTTTCTCATAGCCTGTCAGTCAAGAGCATCACTATCAGAAAGAAATGAGCCCACTTTCTCATTCCAACCCACGGTAAGATTCCATTTATAGCCCAGGCAATAAGAGTTCAGTTAAAATGTTCTGAATATTAAATGTGACATTCTTTGATTTGATCTCAAATCTCTTTTCAATTGCAGCTTCCTCTCAACGAGCTTTACTATTGCTCTTTTTATGCATTGTCTACAGGTTGCAGTATGTCTGCATTGTCACAGAATGCAGGGCAGAATTCTGCATGTTTTGAATGTACTGTGGTGTATTTAAAGTAGCTGACACAGGCCTTGATCCCACACCCACTTCAGTGTGCCACTCAGCAAGCCTTTCTCATCTGCCACACATGCACACGCTCTCATCTCTTTCTTTCCTTCTCTGTCTCTCTCTTTGCTTTTATGGCTTGGAGCTAAAATTCTGTAGGTGACTCTAGGTGTCAGGGGATCCATTCTCTACAAATTATATTAATGTTACCTAGTTAGGCAGGATTTTTCAATAGAGAGCACAGGCAGGAGTGAGTATTATATTATAACACTGAGAGATATTTGAAAGGTGTCCTGTCTGCAACATATTTTGACTGTCTTTTTTTTTTAATCTGGGTCTGTTTTACTTGGCATCAGTAACAAAATCCCTGTGGCTTTAATGTGAGATAAGTTAGAGATTTGGGGGCGGGATGGTGGAGAAGGTAGATGGGGAGAAGCTGAGGCAATCAAAATTAATTGTTCTGTTTCAGAATTGATGTGTACCTGCGAAACCACAACATCACTTTGCCATTTTTATACAGTCTGAGTAGGAGGTGTACTTATTAAAAACAAAAAACATTTTGTTTCACTTTCAGTAGGCCTAATTAACATGATTTTACTTGTCTTTGGACAATATATGTGTGTTGGGAGGGTTAGGAAGAGAGGACATTTTAGATATTTCAGGTATTTAGGACTGAGTTATTTAGAGACTTTATTTTTTTCAGGATATCAACGATCTGAAGTGTTTTATGATAGTGTACTGCTGGTTGATTATATGGCATAATACTCATTTTTCCTTGTAGACATGTTCTCAGTCACTTGTTTCAGTGTTGCTTTCTATACTTTTATTATCTTCTTAGATTTTACGAAGTGAACACTAGGAAACTTGCTGTGGAAATTCACCCAGATGCATCAGTTATTGCAACATTCAGCCTTGTGTTTCTTAGCACAGACAGTAGATTACTGGAGTTAAAGTGCAGTCCTGGATTCCATCTCACATCTATATCAAAGTGCTCTTGTTGGTCTAGGTACATCCTCTGTGCCTGGGTGCAAGTTATCAAAGGAACTATCTCTAGTCTCATGAACTGTTACAGTGCATGAAGTGGACAGAAATATTTGACTAAAGTCAAATATATCTTTTACCTGACACATTTTGGTGGGGACTCTGTTCCATAGTTGATTTTGTTATTCTGAGAATGTTAGAATTGTCAGTATTTTAGTATGAGCTACTTTGTTGGCTTTTTTTTTCCCATAGTTTGGTTGAGTCAGGTTTTATTACATTATTTTTGTGCATGCACTAAAGCAATTTGGTACTCAGTACATTTTATGTACTGAAAAACAGAATAAACACTATTATCTGTAAAAATAGAACATTTCAGCATATCAAGTTAATATGATCAACAGTAAAAACTTGTACTTCTATACAATAAAATTTAAAACAAAATATTATAAATTACTACTTAGTTCCTATGCTGTTTTAATCCCGTACACATAGTAGACTTAAACCTCTACGGAAATCGTTTTCGAGAAATGCAGGCAATCAAAGTATTCGTAAAATACCTGGCTTGCAAGTACCTCATAAATTCAGTAGCCCTTGTGAACTGCCAGAAGAGCATTATTGGGCTGTAAATAGAGCAGGTGACAAAATTATGAGGTCAGTTTGCATCATGATATTAAACTGGAGAAGATGTGACTCGAATACTGCAATTCACATCATTACATTTTACTTAAAAAAGAAAACTGGATATTGTTTTTCACAGAGGGTATTATCTGGGTGAGACAGAGGTCGAGTTAATGGTAATGGTGTAACTTAGTTCCTGAGCTGTTCTTTAAAGCCAATTTTAACTATTAATACATGGTCAACTGGAAAATGTCTAGATCTATGTAGAGGAAAACAGAGGAATATATTTGAAAAATCAGTACCTCCTACTATAGATCAATGGATGTAAATACTATGACACTCAGGCAATTAGATCATATAATTACTGAAACAACAGATAATTTGTTGTGGAAAGTGATAGAGAATTTGGCAAGTCTTAACTAATTTAGAAAAGGAAAAACAGTACTGATACTTTCTGGGAAATGGGAAGAGCAATGTGAGAACTGTTGTCCAGAAAATGTAACTTCTGTCCATCCTAAGATAAAAGAACAAGCCAGAAAAGAAAGCACCTGCGAAGATAATGGAAATGCAGTCAATAAAAAGTCCTAGCAAGACTCATTTTGCCTTAGTTCCACGGGTAATGGTCATAAGTCTGCCACAGAATATTGCTAGTGCCGTACAAATGGTCCCTACAACACGCTGCTTTGCAAGGCACAGAACAAGTTAATGAAGGATGGGCTGCCTGGAGAGGCTGTAGAGCCAGGTGAGCAAAATGTGCAGGGTTTTCAAGCCTTAGCTCTGCAGTTCCCACAGACAGGCTTGCTGTTTCAGCTGAGTTTCAGAACTGCTCTTTTCCATGCAAATAGTTCTATTTTTATTCTGTGGTATTACTCCCTCCAGTGCATGTGTTGGAAACTGCTAGGTACCCTGCATCTATTTAATAGCACATAAGCAGGATTATCCTCTGACATACTATATTATGTGTCATAGAAGGTTTGGAAGTTTCTTTAAAGTAAATGTGGAAGTAAAGAAGGCTTCTAGAGCAATTCTAGTCATTCTGTGCTTTAAAATGTGGAGCTGCTCCCTAAATAATGCCTCCTAAGGCAGACATATTTTTTTTCTGAACTTCTACAGATGGTTTTCTTAATTTTTTTCTGATAAAAGCTCATTTTTCCATTTTTGAATTTTTTTTTTAAATTGAAATCTATAAAGCATTGCCTCACCAGATTCTCACTTGGCATCACTCCAGGCTCTCCCCAGCCTACCAAATAAGATTTGCTTCTCTGAAGTTCAAACTGCTGTTCCCCAGAAACTGTGCTAAGGTAGGACATAGATATTTCAACACTTCATGGCATATCCCATCACAAGAATTGTATTTTCCCTCAGTTATTTTATACAAAACACACACAGACTAGTTTTCAGTTAGATGTTAACCAGGTAATTGATTTTACACATGTGAAAAGAATATATATTCTCTGAGAAAATTGTGGGCACAGATATTTGATGATAGTGATAGTTTCTACCTCTTTTGGATTATGGATCAGCATATAAAATAAAAGCCTCAGTATGTGGGAAAGTCTGTTAGTGGTCTCAGAGCAAAGCATGAGTGATCAAGTTATGTTCCATTCGCAAGTGAAAATATTTATTAAACTGATGTTGTCCCTCTTAGTACCTGGAAGTTTTCGTATCTTACCAGCTCCTAAATGTGGTGTCTGATCTTTTAAGAAAGCAAGAAAAAAAATCACAAGCAAGTGTTGTAGAAAGACAAGAATTTGGGAGCTAAACCTTTCTCAAATAGCTCCTATTCAAATACCAATCATCACTCCTCTGTGCAGACAAAAGACACAAGTTCACATCTACTTTTTATAACCCCAGTAGAACTGAGAGGTAAGAAGGCTCATAGCCCACCTGAAATCCTTCTCACCAACAACAGCTTTTCCTAAGATGCTTGAAATTCATATAATGAAAATGATAATGTGAAGGACTCTCCCTGCCTCTGCTGTGGACATGGTCAGGGTTACCTGTCCAGAAGGAAAAGAGAGTGTAGTCGTTTGTTAGCTCCAGCTCTGGTTTTGTTCTTCTGGGCTGTGGGAAGCTCTCGCTTGCCTTGCTGGCATGGGGAAGTGTGCATGTGTGTTAGGATACAGCCTTCCTTCCCTGCTGAGCTCTGTGTGTCAGGATTGAGCCCACCTTAAGAGCTGATGATGTAGATTGTCCCCCCCCCAAAATCCAGCAAGACTCTGAAAAAGCCATCAGATGTCATTTACCAGTTCCCACCTCTCCTTCTCAGTGTCTTGTCCTTCTCCATGGCCTTCAAACCTGCATTCATGCAGATGGTTATCACTAAGAAGCTTTATGAGGAAGCATGAGTGTTAGAATAGCCTTCAAGTTAGAGGATTCAGTAAGAAGCCTCAAGGCCACCAAACAGCCAACTTGTTAAATAAGCTAAATTTATCTGCTGTGTCCCCACAAGTCAGTTGCTGCTTTAATGGCTTTTTTGAGTTTAAGTTAGAGTCCATCAGTGGTTTTGTTATGACTAAAAAAGAAAACCTCTTAAAACTAAGCAGCATTCTAGATGCCTACCTTTAAGGAAAACCAACGATACTGCAAAATGATTATTGAAATAGCCAAGTGGAAATAGTGATGCAGCTAGCATTTTGTCAAGATTTATATTTTATCTAGAAGAAGTGTCACCACTGTATTACAATTTAAATCTTTCAGTTGGGGGTGTGATATAAACTTCCTTGTATCTGTAATTGCCTGATAACAGCTGCAGTTGCTGACAGATGATTAATAGTCACTGACCTCACTTCACACTGGCTTGGTACAGGCTGACTAAAGCATATGCTGTCTTGTCATACATGTGTTACATTAAACTGATCAGGATATCATCATTCTTATTTCAACTACACTCTTCTTTACTGATTTAATTAAGCAAATAGATTATTTTTAGCAAAGTTTCTGGTACAGAAACAGGTATTTTTTGCCAATATCTTTGCCATAAATGTTCAATACTGTCATTATCACAACACCTGAAATCTGCATAAAATTTTCAGTAGTTGTAGCACAAGAACCCAAACCACTCTATACTCTCAAATATAGATCCTAGACTTATGTTCAGTTTAGGGACTAGTGTTTAAGCATCCTCATTCATCCCAAATGAAAACTAAACATGCCAGTAGCTGATGCATGTGTTACACTGT